AATTATATTTTAAATTTATGATAAATAATTTATATTATAATTTTTTTTAGTTATTGATAATTTATTTTAAAATATTAATGTTTAATTTATAAAAAATTATGATAAATAAAAATTAATTTTTTTTTATAAATTTTTTATTGAAAAAAAATTCTAAAAATACTTTCGTATAAGATAAAGATTATTAATAATAGATAGTGTTAGTGAAAATGTCAGCTTGGAAAATATGTAGACATTGGACAGGAATATGTAAAACTCATAAATAGTTTGCCACACCAACCCAATCTTCACTGTCATATTAACAACAAATAATGGTTTACAAGAGATCTCATACATTTATGAAGCAAAAAAATTAGGAAGAGAAAAAAAAAAAGAAAGAAAGAAAAGAATACAGCTTATCACTGGACCATGAAAAAAATAAAAGAGAGTGGGGGATACAACTGCTCTTTATACACTTAGGAAGCAGCTGGTCCTATTCTCTGGTATGCAAGGAAAATGAGAAAGCAAATTAAGGTGCAATGCACAAATATAACATATATATAATACTATATAATACTTAACAATTTAAGAGAACGATACCCTTTTTCTTTATTTTGTTGATTTGAATAACTGGCTTCCAAGAGTCACAATTGGGGTTCCTTCTCCCATGATTGTTGTCAAGTTCATTTCCTTCTCTAGGATCCGATCAAGTTCCATTTCCACATAGCTCATGGCAGGTCGCCTCTCACTTGAAGGATCTAAGCATCTAATTATGAGCATGATGTATTCTTCCATCCCTTCAGCTGTAAAACTACTCTCCAATCTCCTATCAATGATGTAAGACATCATGCCACGGTCTTGATTGCTTACCACCTTCATTATAGAGGGAAAAAAAAAGTACAAAACAATCACAGAGAAGCACATGGACTTTACATGTAAGATTAGCCCCAAGCACATCATGAAAAGTAGCTATGACACACTTTCAACATGTGCCCCCAAAGCCAAGTTTTGTGAATGTCACATTGCATCTATGATGTTTAAAAGTAGAGTAAATAGTACATATATATACTGACAATGTATAGAGTTGTTATATCATCATTCGTCCATCAATCAAAAATCATCATATATGATAATTTTGTTGATTTATACGATGACTACCTTAAAAGTTACATCTAGTATGATTTCTGATTGATGATCGGTTACACTGATAGTGAGTAAAAATTAAACTCTAGAAACTATTCACGTACCCATTCAACCAGATTTTCATTAGCCTCCGGAAATGGTGATTCTATTGCTTCTTTCCCACTTAACAATTCCAGCAAAAATACCCCAAAGCTGTATACATCGCTCTTTTCAGAAAATCGTCTGAACTCTCTCACTCTGCAGGGCATGGTGTGCATAAATAAATGCATGCAAAACCAGAACAACACAAGTCATTAACGAGCTTTAGAGCTATATATTACTCTGATGCAAGGAATATTTCATCTGTTGCCACTTGAGAAGAGGAGCCTGCAATGTCAACTCTCCCCAAAAAATTGCGAAGTCCTGCGTCTGCCACCTTAGCAATGAAGTTTTCATCCACAAGAACATTAGCAGTTTTGAAATCCTTATGCACCAAACGGGGACTCAAAGAGTGGAGATGAGCCAAACCTGCATAGAATAGTGTGAATGATCCTTTGAAAACCAGGAACAAGTTCCTCATGGCTTTATGCATAGAGAAGGTATTACCAAATAAATGGAAGTTTTAGGATGGCTTACAAAAACAATTGCGAGATCCACTAAGATACTTAGGTATTTTATCTAAAAGAGAAGAAAACTGATACCAGGAAAGCCACAAATGCTCACTGATTTTGCAAAGGATCACCTTTAGCTGCACCTTGAGCTATTGAAAGTCTAAGCTTGAATTCTAGCTTCTCTTGCGATTGTTGACCAGCGCCTGCAAAGGAAAATCATAATCACCATCATGAGTTTTAAGAAGATTCATTTAGCTAAACAAGACACAATTTTTTATGAAATGTAGTGTAATGCAATTTAATTTTGCATGCATGCAGCAAATAATGCAGCACAGGATAACTGAACAATCAGTATCAGTATAACTATTGTCTGAATAGAGATGAAGTTCATAATAAAACTTTGCAAATATACAGAAATTTACCATACAAGTGACTGGAGACGCTTCCATTAGGCACATATTCATATATAAGAAACTGAAGATTGTTCTCCTGGCAGTAGCCTAAAAGAGTGACGAGATTCCGATGGTGAATAGACGAGAGGTAGCGTACCTAAAGTAAAACAAAGTCATATCATACCAAAGCAAGAAAATGAACCGTTCAGGATACTTGTACTTAAGACTATGTATGCAATTGCCATTCCATTAGAATTATGAAGTGAATATGTCAGAAACTGTAATACAGTTTATGCTCACAAAGTCCGACTAGTTTAAAATTTAAATCAACAAAACAAAGTCTGTCACACAAAAAGAAGTGAGATAGAAATACTTTTTGTGCTCACATATATTTATAAAGATTTTATTCAGACATGACTGGAACACATTAGAGTGAACTAATGGTAAAAGAAAGATTCATCTTACTGAATCAAATGATATATGAAGCTAAATGGCATTTATTATAGAACTCTAAATTCTGAAGCAGAAACAGAAAAGGGTCACAAGGACATGAGAAATAAGATGTGAAGAAGAAGAGGGCATCCTTTTGAAATTATAAGAAACTGATCAAGGAAAACAATTTTAGTGACGAATTCATCAAGGACTTATATGAAGTACCAAGCATCTGTTATTATTCTACTGAATAGGGCATGGGAAGCAACTTCTCAACAATGATACATTTCATACTCAGACTCGGCGTCTCATACATGACACAATAAAGTTTTAGAGCATGAAACTGAGTATTACCTCATCAACAAATTCCTGACTAGCGAGTCCACGGCGTTTTTTGATGGCTACAAGCATCCCATCTTGAAGTAAACCCTTGTAAACCTCCCCAAATTTCCCTTCTCCAATCAAATTTTTGTCACTGAAATTTTTTGTGGCCAGAGATAGTTCTTCCATCTCAAAACGCCTAGTATCTCGTACAGGCAACTCAATTGCACCATGTCTTCCCACTGCATGTTGTAGAATTTATTTGCATCACTATAAACACTAGGAAAATTATTCATCACAGAATATATGTATATCCAATACATGCATGTGAGATGTTACCTTGGGAAGGATCAGAGGACCCTGTCTCTGAAGTCCTAGAAACATTTCTCTGACGAGACGAGCAAAACCATATAAGTATTATAGCAATCCCTACCAATGCCACGGCTCCTGCAGCTCCTCCTAATATTGCTGCAAGAGTACTTGACATTTGGTGTGGGAATCCCTTCACTTATGCTGTACAAATTTATATGAACTCTTATTGTACATGAAACCTGGAGTCCAAAGGATAGCAAAAGATCACAATCTGTGGAGAATGAACATAATGTGCTTCAAGAGAAAGGGGATGATACAGTTAACAATGCAAAAAGTTAAGAACCATTAGTGACTTTAGTTCAAAATTAATGGAACGTTGACACATGATTGCAAAGGACATGACTTAAACACAATGCATGCAGTTAAGAATGCAGGCATAAAAACTAAATAAAATTGAATATAATGATAATGCTGAACTAAGAAAAGAGTATATCCAGTAAGTTTGTCTGTGAAATCAATGAATAGTGCTAAGCTAACATCACCAAAAAAAAAAATCAAAAATTGAAGGAATTTTAGGAAACCCAGGAAAATGCATGTATTCTCTAAATGTCATGCAGGCTGATAAAATTGGATCTTGCCTAATAACATTGCATCTGCTCTGCACATAGTTGAAATCTATAAAAAAAAATTAATAAATAAAGGCAGAGTGGAAGGGAAGGAACAACAAATAGAATAAAGTGGTTACTTTTAGTCAAATCTCCAGACCTATATGACGAGATAAATAATGAGGCAGGATCTCAGAAAGCCTGAGCTTCATTTACCAATGACACTTTGAAGGAGGTTCCAATGCCACTCACGGAAATCAAGATTGACCCACAAACCCCCTCCACCCTCCCTCATATGAACCAATTTTCCACCCTCAACACAAATCCACAATCAAACCAAGATGTTCAAGGCTTCCTTCCACACAAGATGCAAATATAGAAAGTGGGGTTTTGGGGGCATCAAAATCAAAAAGCTGCCTAAACCAAACACCCCCTTCAGATCAGGAGCAACACTTGAAGTCTCAGTTGGCTCCAAAGACAAGGTCAAGGCCTGATATGAATATGCTCCCTGAAAGGTAGTGCCACTCTGTAAGCAATGAAAACCCAGAAGTAAAACCTCTCTATCACGTTGTACTTTTTATTAATTTTTATTGGAAAAAAAAAATACTCTCTCTCTCAGTAGTGTATCATCGTTGGATAGTGGATACAGACAATGCCAACAGAAAGTGACCTTGCGCCGACAGACACAACACACTATCAGGTTTATTACCACCTCCACCAAACACCCCAATTCAAAATCATCACCACAAATATAAACATAGTATATATATGTATGTACATGTAAACAAAGCCACAAAAACAAGGGACCCTTTATATTCTTTTGATTGATGGTTCCACTCCAGCTGAAGGGAAATTCAATTCAAGCTGACTAGAATTGAAGCTGAAGACTTAAGAGGGGAATGCAGTTGGAGAGAGAAAGATAGAGAGAGAGGGTATGACAGAGAAAGACAGAGAGAGAGAGAGAGAGGGGCCAAAAAATAATCTTTTTTTAATTTTTTGTGGGCTGTAAAGTGGCATAATTGTTGTCTGGTACCGCAAGTTGAATGGGATTTATTTTTCTGTGTCGTGTACAGGGCATCTAAGCTGTAACAGATTCACACTGCTGCAACAGCACAAACAGAGAGAAAGGGAGAGCCAGGAGACACAGTACATTGCAAGAGTAAAATCACTCAGATCATGTATCAATGTATTTATTTTCACATTTGATATGCACAACCACAAATATCATCACGTAGATCAACTGCTATAAGGTTGTTTTAATTTGACAAATGATTTCGAGTTTAACTCATGTAATTGTATTAAATACTAGAAATAAGAATTTTGTGACTTATAATTACCTTACTTGACTCAACCAGGATCATCTATCTATGTTTTTTCTTATTTTACATTTGATATGCAAAAGTATAAATATGACCACTTAGATCAATTGGTATGATTTTACTTTAATCAATAATTTAGAATTTGGATTATATAATTTTATTAAATACTCAAAAGAAGAATTTTGAGACTTATAATTATCTTATCTGACTCGAACATAATTGTATTTGGTAGAAAATACTTAGTAACTTGTGAAGAAAACATAAATTAGGATACAATATAAAAAGAGAGAGAAAGAGAGGGTGATTCAAAGTTGTGGCTTGTTCCTTGTGGGGTTGTTGTACCCCACCAGCCAGCTATGTTGACGTTGCTCCTACTGAGTATTTTATGTGTGTATAATATAAGGATTATGTTAGTCCGGTAAGTGAATGAAATTTAGGACAAAAAGCAAGGAATATGTAACGGCAAACTCTACGGTTCTGTTCCTTTTAGCTTTTGTTTATTCCCGTTTCTAACAGCAACACTTCTTCGGATTCTTATCAATTATTCTTTAATATCATATGTTCTTTGTCATTGCAATGGAAACATATATAATATGATGGGGCGATGATGATTACCATGATGATTACAAGAAGTCAAGAACCGCTCAGAATTGTAGCAGTCGAGGCCGTAGGGGTTGCACTAACTCAACCAACCAACCATGAATTTATAAGTAAAACATTAATCTAGTTCTTAAAATTGGTATTACCAATCAATTTGAACCGCATGTATTATTAAAAGGTAAATGCAGTCTGTCAACTAACAATCAAATTGTTCTTTAAAATTGACATTATGCTCAATTTGATTCCTATTGTAATCAAATTAGTCGTTTTTGGATAACCTTCACCCCATCAATGAATTTGATCTTGACATTAAGAACAAAAGATCAAATTAGCTAATAATTAAATTAAAGAACTGAAATGACTAACACTTGTCAATTAAAGAAACTAATTTGCTTATCTCAATTTCTGGAAGTGTCATTATAATTTGAGGGACCGATTTGTCAATTGTCATTTAATGTTTTTCATTTCTTCCGTTTTGTTTAATACCCTTTTTCACCTCTTCTTTTGTGAAGAAGGTGACATGGCTTGACCAAAAGAAAAACAAAGGAATAATCCAGCGTGAGTATTGGCAACAATGTGAACGAAACAAATGACATCATTAATCATGATTTGAAAGATTCTTAGACTTGATGAAAGCAAGACAATAGGGACGCAATGATATGATCAATAACACAGAGAAGGATAATAATGTGGTAACCAGTAAGTAAACCACCCTCTTTAATTACATAATGTCAACGTCCAAAATTATTGAGGCACAATGATTTAGTACCCTTTCTGCTCAAGAACTGATCAAAGTCCATTTTGTAACACAAACTAATTAGTTTAGGTCTGGTTTGGTCTCTTTAAAACTGGCATCACTGGCCTAGTGTCAGCATATTTATTTAACTGGTTTTGCCTGATATAGATTTACTGCCCTTTTGCCATTCTGTGTCACAAGACTCACCTAACAGCAAATAAACTCAATTGACATTATTTTCCTCCAAACTTTTCAGACAGTATAATCGACACAACCCCACAAAGATCACATCTTTGGATCTATGACGTAGAATACCAGATTACCCCAATCCCTTATACCCAATGGGGGAAACCCAATTTACTTACCTGGCACTGTTTTCCCTTCATCCTTTGCTTTCACATTTTTGCAACAGTTTACAAAGTGATGTAGCTTATGTCAAGATTGGAGAAACTCCTTCACACCCAAATAAAAAAACTGTTTAATAATATCATGGAGGTGAATGAGAGAAAATTGATAATAAGTTGGTGCAATCCATTTTAACAGTGGTACCATTAACCAATCACATTTATTGGATGTATTAAAATGAATTTGAAACTGTGAGCATTACTTTATGTGCCAATTAATGAGTCATCAGAATCTTAGATGAGACCTCACTACTACAAGCAACATTATTCCCTTTCATTACGCTGGATGATTGCAAGCTAGAAGGCTTTCTTGTATTTTATTTATTATTATTATTATTTGTTTTTGGTTTTGGCTGGCTAGGTTGTTGAAACATAGAAGTCATCGAACATAGCTGGATGCCAAAAACCTCTGTCACATGAATTGAAATTCTATGTAGCTGGAGAATCAGAGGCGTAATCGTAACTGGGACCTCAAATCAAAAGGCTTTCTTGTGAAAATGGGACTGGAGGAGATTACACTACTCCCTCCATTTTTTATTCATAGTCATTTAAGGTTTTGCACGGGAATTAAAAAAATAATTGAAATTTTAGTTTTTAAAAATATTTATTACTTATTTTCTTATTTTACCCTCTATTTTTTTATAAATATTTTATTAGAAATATATTATCCTTTTAAATGCAACATTAACTTCACATAAGTGGTTAAAAAAAATAGGTAGACATTAGAAATAAATATGCACATTGTTCAGTAAACATACATTAATTATCAAGGATAAAAAAGAAAAAAAAATTAATAAATCATTAATTTTAGTAAAATAATAATAAAAAAAATGATAAATTCTGACGAAATGACTATGAATAAAAAATGGAAGGATTACTTCTTAACATCTCTGGCAACCAAAAGTACAACTTTAATTTGCTGCTAATTATTGTTGGAACTTGGAGACCCTTTTGACTTGCTTGGGCATGTGGGTTGGACAGTTGCTGAAGAATATTGGGCTGAGCTTGACATTCGCAAATGCTGGTGAATTTTTTTTAAGGACTAAAGGCTCCTACTTAGCCCAATGATAAAAACAATATCGGATGTTTTGTATACACGAGATTTGATTGTGCACAAGCTCAACTTTGAGCTAAAACTATTCATCATCCTTCTTTTTTTTTTCTCTACCGTCCAAGAAGTTACTTAAAGTTATCCAGTTAGTTATTAGCCCAACATGTGCTATTTATTCTATTATTAATAGTACATTAAAATGAGCAATATTAGTTATAGAGGAGGATAACAAATAAAACTAGCTGATACAAATTTAAATAACAATTTATTATCCTTGAATCTATCTTACACATTATGTAATCACAATAAAAAAAAATATCTTTCACTATAATAATAATCAAAATACAATAAAAATAACCTCATTATTTTTCTCTCAAAAGGTATTTTCTCTCACATAAGTGTAAAGGAATAAAAGTATTGATTTTTATGGTCAACAAAGATATTCCTCTTATTTTTATATGTCACATTATCATATTATGTCACTAGCACATCAATATTTAGGTCATCATATTAACATCATGTCATTTATTATATCATTCGTTAATGTCACGTTAATAAAATTTGTTAGATGTTTAATAGGATGGATTAAAATTACATAATTGTATTACTATAAAAATAAAAATTACTCAATTAAAACAAGACAACTAAAAATACATTTAAAAAAATAGCAGAAATTGTGCAACCCCCCCCCCCCAAGATACAACAAAGACTTCCTGAAATTAGAATCAAGCACATAACTAACAAGACTTCGTAATCGAGAACCCAAAATGTTTAACAAAAGAGAGAAGGAAAAAAAGTGGTGTGTATTTCAATGAATATAAGGCATATATTTACAGGTAAAAAAGCCATCAGAAACTGAAAAATGGATCGAAAAATCCACAATGTATAAAAAAATGACTGTTTTAGCATATATTGGTCAAACAAGATAACTCCGAAAAAAAAATTATATGCAACATTGAAAAGAATAGGTAAAACTGATTAATAAAGAATTAAATAAATAATGAATATGTTTGGATAAGTTTTTCCAAAAGCATTCATAGAAGAGAAAAATAAGAGAAAAAAAATGAAATAAACTTTTTTGATAAGTTAAAATTAATATATGCATAAGATTTAGAAAAAAGTTTACAAGAGAGCTTATACAAATTTAGACTAAATCATTTATTTGACCCCTTTATTTAACTTTTCGTTTCAATTTAGTTCCATGATTATTAATTGAATCAATTTAAGATAAAACATGTCAACCTTTTCATTACTAGAATAACATAATTTCATTACAACAATGCTTGGCATATATTGCATGTTACAAAATTATTGGACCAAACCTAAATAACTAGAAAACCTACAACTGAATAGACACATTTGTCATTACCTACAAAAGACAACAAAGAATACCTGCCTAATTCATACTTATGCAAATACAATTCCATACTTCAAATATACCACCTTTCCAAATTGAGGCATCTTGTTACATATTAAAATGATGAAAACGACACTCATCAATATAAGAACAACCACAACAATGATTAACATCTTCATCCACCATTTTATTAACTTCAATAAACTTTGGAGATTGTTTATTTTTCTCTTTTGTGTAGAAATCACTAAATCTCGATCATCGACAACAACATCATCTAAAAACTACTAAAAGAAATTGCATTCAACCTCTTACTTGTCATCACTCTAAAAAAAAGAACAAAATTCTATAAATAAAAAAAAGAAGAAAGAAATACGTTAATAAAAAATAATATAAATTTATTATTTTCACCAACTACCCAAACAAAGACTAAATTTGTTTCAATTGAAACGCATACCATACCATTAATTTAGGGCCTTTATCATAAACTAGTTTCCCCAAACCA